ATTTTAAACTAATTATTATATTTTTATACTTTGCTATAATAACTTAAATTTTAAATATAATATTTACTAGTAATTATTAATTAATATATTATCTTAAATATTATTTTTTTTAACTTTTTATAATAATAACCTAAATTCATTAAGGGCAATTAATTCAGGTCCCTATCTTTATTAGCGTGGTTTTATTTTATATATCTTTTCTATTAAATTTAGACCTATATTCGCCTCGCAGCTAGGATAGGTTTAACACTAAGTAACTAAAGTATAACGATATTTCATAAGCAGCCTCTGAGCTTGAGCTCAGACTATACTTTCGTCTCGACACCGCGTTAGATGCTCTCTTTTCCCGTATTTATAGCTAACAATAAATAAAAAATAGTTCTATAGAAATTAATCAATTAATTAATTTACTCTTTATCGCTTTATATATATATAGCTAGATGCATCATTGTGGTTGAATTTTAATAAAATAAAATGCCTCTGTTGACTGCCCGGGCGAATTCCACTACGCCTGGGGGGAGCCCGATTCGCATGTCCAAGCAGCGCCGAGGTATAGATCTTCACTTTGTCTTAAGAAGAGTTCCTGTTGATGATCCCCCTTTCTCTAACCCCGCACTACGGTATCTTGCAGATCAAAGTTCCCCGCTTGTGCCCCGGAAAATCAAGAAACCAGGGTGGTAACTACCGCTTACTAAACTTCCCACTATGGGGCCGAGCGAATAAGAGCTGGACGGCAGGCTATGGCACGGTAATTTAAATAACCGATAACTCCATGAGAGTTCCGGCCCCGCATTGGATGAGAAATAGGAAGGGGCTAAATCAGAATTCAGCCAAGGAGGGCTCCGAGGAGAACTGCACCAATCTCATGCGGGGAAGGAGCAGGTCATTGAATTGACCCTGCCTTTGCCCGTCACCTGTTGCGCCCGCCTCTCACGACTCTCTTTGTTCTTTCAACCATCACTATCAGTCTTATCGCCATCAACAAACATCACCATTGCCGATAGCGGAGTGTCGTTATCGATAAACTATGATAGCACATGATTAAGATTTATCTTATGCTTCAGGCAGGCTCACGGTCGAAAAGGCATCAGAAAAGTCCCGACGGATACTGTTTGTAGTGCACTCATTGGCACCACCTGCGAAATTTGCAACATGACGGGCCAACTTGACTGTGAATCATGTAGTCTTTCCTTTCAGCGCAGAGAACACTACGATCGCCACATCCTCACACATACCAAAGAGAAGCCGTTCATCTGTTCAGAATGTCACAAGAGCTTTGGGCGCCTGTAAGTTGAGACTCAGCGACTTACCACTCAACAAACACCTCATATCTCTAGGGATTCTCTCTGTCGCCATCGAACCACTATCCATGGAAGGAATTCTAGTCAGACATCGGGAGATAACCCCAATCAGCGTCGTCGAGTGGCTCAGGCATGCAAATCATGTGGTGCGGCGAAAGTACGCTGTGACGGTCAACGACCTTGCCAGAGATGTTCCAACAATGGCTACGATTGCTACTACGAGCCCGCCCCGAAGCGCAAACAGAGCTCAAGGCTTAAGCTCGTCAGCAAGAGAGCCAGAAAAAATACAATGGGTGGGCCAGAAAATCCCCCCTCGGCCACGACCACACGAACTGCATTTGCTACCACTGCGAGCCCTGTAGACAGGATGGAGGCGGACTCCATCGTTGCTCAGTCCGTTCCCGATCTAATCGCAGCCGCAGCTACCGAGATCGTTCCGAATCCCCCTTCGCCTCCAGAACAAACTATACGACGGACGAGTGACGTGGGTAGCTACGCTTCACGTATCGACGCTTCCAGGGCAAGCAGCTTACCTGCAGATCCAGATCACTGGAATGACATGATACTGCCCACAACGCCCTTCCCGTTCGACCTAGGTTCTTTTGATTTTTATGGGGAGAGAGACATCCTATCATCAATTATGCCCTCAGAAGCGGAATCGCTGGCACACAATAGCTTCTATCCACTGGTACCTCCGTCATTTGCAGTCTCCACCACGCCCATGTTTGCATCCAGTTTGAATGACTCGAGCGGAGCTGAATTCCACAGCCGGGCGCATTCGCCTACATTAGACAAGGATCAGATCGAGCCTCGCGTTTACAAGCCATCGTCCGTTGAGTTTGATAGCCAGCTCATCTTCCCAGACCTAGCCAAGATCACCCACGAGGAGATTGACGGGGAGGACTTTGCACATGTCGATGAGATTTCATCGGATATCGCTGACAAGGTTACCCTTTACGCCCAGCATATGGATCAACACGGCCTATGGCCAGCCTTTATCGAGGTCAAACTTCCGCCCACCGCCGTCCTCAACTCCTGGGTCCAGCTCTATTTCGAGCACTTTCACCCTATCTTTCCGATTCTCCACAAACCGACCTTCTCATCGCCCGACACACATTGGCTCTTGACCTTCACAGTCGCTGCGATTGGCGCTCACTTTTCTGCTATAAAGGGGTCGCAGCTATGCCACAGAGCAATGCATGAGCTGATCCGACGACAATCTTCAAGTTTGGTAAGCTACACCTGCTGTCAGATCTGACCTGACTTGGCTGCTCCTAAACTAACGAGGTAGCCAGTGTGAGCGATACATGAAGGCTTGTCGCGAGCTCTGGATGTGCCAAGTCAACCTTCTTAATTCAGTTGGGCTCATGTACTCGGGTGAGCGAAGAGATATGGAGCTAGCTGAGGTCCTACAGAGCGTTACGCCGACTCTCGGGCGGCGAAACGGCTTATTCCGGAGAAGATATACCGAAAATAAATCGTCCACGACCAAGATGTCCCCCAACCAGAGTTGGAAAACATGGCTTGGCGAGGAAGAGCGACGACGTACTGGCTTTGGCATCTGGCTGCTTGACTCTGCGTTTGAAATACACTTTGACCTCAGCGCCTTGATTCGCGTGGATGAACTGCTGATGCCACTGCCACAACCAGAGGACAAGTGGAACTCACCATCGGCACAGAGTTGGGCTAGCATGTCGAGCGAGGCTGATCTCAGGACCGACTATACGTTGGAAAAGGTTATACTTGAAAACAGCTGGCGGACGATTTGGCCCAAGACTGGCACTGTTGGCAAAGATGTCATAATTCAATATCTGGGATGTGTAATCAACAGTCGTACTAACAACCTCGCTTTGCCCAGTGCCCAAGACTCGATCAAATTGAAGGCCGAGGAGGCCTTGATCTCACTGCTGGGTCTCATTGAAGATGACCAGCAGCAGATGCAAATCCCAGAGCTCAAGGCCGCTGTATCGCATCAGGTCATGATTTCCACGGCACTGGCGACCTATAAATCCCCGACACGCAACCTCACTTCGGCCTCGCTCAAGTGTATCTACGGACGGATAGACGATCAGTCATGGAAAAACATAGCAATGCAGTGGAGGAATTCTGGCGGAAAAGCAAGACTGGCGCTCTTTTGGGCTGCCAGGACGTTCCATGTGATACGCTCCAGCCGGTGTACCAACTTTGCTACGCCTGTGTATCTAATCCGAGCCGTTCTAATCTTATGGCTATACTCGATGCTGGCTGGTCGGTTTATCGTGGGTTTCCAAGCCCCAGCGCCCGCGCCATCTGTAGTCTTAGGTCCCAAACGCCTCAGCTGTATGGGTCAGCTTGACTGGATAGAGAATGGATGGAGTCAGGTGAAACTACCAGGAATCGGTAATCTACTATGTGGTGCCGGTAGGACTAAGTTGCTGGATGAGTCTATAGGGCTTATGAAATCGCTGAAATGCTGGGGCATCAGCGCGAGCTATGCGCAGCTACTGGTCAGGTTACAAGCGAGCGAAACGTCGCAGCCTCACAGCATTACCACGGAGATGGAGGATGACTAGAAATACCCTATTTACATGTTTATCATTCATGCGGTGGAACATACAGCTACCGCTGCTTGTATGTGATTTGAATTTCGGGACTTGGTCGGCACGCTCACTTGACAAGCGGCCAGGGCATGGTTACGCATTCCACGACCTGATACTGATATGTAGCATATATATCTATAATGGCTCTAGAGCTATTCTATCTCTTAAAATTTCCCATCGATGATGTGCACAATCTGTACCTTGCCTCCCCGAGGAAAACGCAGCTGGATAATGACATGATGTGTCGGGTCCTTGGCTGAGTAGTAGTAGTCGCGATCTGCAGCATTCTTAAAGATTATAAAGATTGATGGGTGAAGCCGCTCTGTCCTATATACTTATATCTCCTGTAAGTAATAGAGTGTGAAGTGAACGTGCATTGAACGACTCTGGTGACCTATCTTTGCCTACTTTGAGGGTCTGGATGTATGACTGTTGTGTTATCAGGTTGACATAATTTTGCTTTATTGCAACGACGCTCCCAAGAGTCTAGGATATATATCGATCAAGTAATAGCTCTAGAATAATAAGAGAGCACAGAGTGATTAAGCGATTTAGATCCTTCTAAACGGGTCAAATAATAAAATAATCGAAATTGTGCAGGCATTAAAGATCCCAGGTGGAGAGGCAGCAATTCTGGAGAAAACGAGGCGGCTGTGGAGTCAAGGTTTTGCTCATGCGGTCCGTCGTCTAACTACAAACCACACCTGACGGCACTGACACCGATCCAAAAGAACAAGGTCTCTACGGACGGCACACGAGATTCCGCATAGAGTCGCCAGCATGAGACTCAAGTCCGGTGCCAAGTATGGGGCAGAATGAAAGAAAACCTAGACATCTCCATCAGCCTTGATTTGAAACTGCACAGAGAAGGCTTGGCGGTATCTTTCATTCCCATTTCATATATAAGCGGCCGTTTTGCCAATTGGTACCTCAGTAGTAATTACTACTTCTTGCTTTGAGAAAAATACGAATTCTTGATGTTCAGATAAGTTCAAGTTATCTATATTTGCTACCAATACAATAACGTGAGACAGATGCTGATGCTGAGCCGACGCACCACTTCCGACACTTGAGTATCAGAGAATGCGGTTCTCTTATCAAAATCAAAATCAGCTGATATATTATCAATAAAATGATCGGAGCACAGCGAGATTTATATCGGTCTCACGGCATAGGCCTAGTTGCCGAAGATTGCGCCAGTAACTGCTTCGCATCCCGAGCTGGATAAGCTCCCCAAAAATACTTAAACAGGTCCTCAGGATATTCAGCATCAGGAACATAACGATGCAGCTCATCCATCATGTCTCGTCGCTTCTCATTGGCCACCTTTGACATGAACATAACAGTTACTGAGCGAGGATATCGGAGCTGCTCGTACATAGCCAGTCTTTCAGAGATATGCGCTTTTGTCGTATCTCTTGGAAATAGTGCTCCGAGAACAGCACTATCCTCGAATGACTGTGCTCCTCCTTGGCCCTGGTCTACAAATGTACCGTTAGCTATAGATGGAATACTGCGGTAAACGATTGCATTTACGTGGAAGTGTCGGATGAGCTGCATCGCCAGCGAGAACCAAACAGCCCTTGTAGAATGTGCTTGGTGGTGTGCGTGACGCAAGACTCCATAGCTTAAGGTCTTCCGCCATTCTACACATCTCGAGTAGCTCGGGGCAAAATCCTGAAAAGGTATTTAGTAGATCCTCAAGCTTGCCGCCAGAAAGCCATGACGATTCCGGCACAGTATCATCCTCGTCTGTTGGATATATAGCTCCGATGTTGAGTGATGTGCCGTGACGACAGGGATACACAACTAGTCGGCGGTCTTCAGAGGCAAAGCAGTGTAAGCCGTCGAGTACATGCTCTTCTGTAAAGAAGCGACGGGCAATGGGATTGGCCATGATTTTGTCTACAGGGACGAGGAAGCGGAAGCAATTTTGGCCGGTACTGACCCGACGTTGAGGCTCCCCTGTCACAGCAGCTACCGTTTTAGACTGGGCATGTTAGTTAGCATAGTAAAGGCTTATGAGAGTCTGACATACGTGTACTCCATCGGCGCCGATGACCAGGTCTGCCCTATGTGTCCTTCCATCCTCTAGGTAGATAATACCCTCGTTGGGATCCTGGATTCAGGCACATGTCAATGATACTAAGTACAGAGAATGATACGAGTGTTGACTTACTACAGATTTGATCTTGCTGGATAAATGAATTTTCGGCTTCTTCCCTTCGCTCCCCTCTTCTGCCTTTCTACGCAGAGCATTGTGGAGATCTACCCGGTGCGTCAACAGCCACTCGTCGTTTGTTTGTAGATCCTGCTGCAGTTGCTTCGTGTCCTTGCCAAAGTGTCAGGCACATACTTATAGCTAATTCGGTCGCTTACTTACCACCACCTTAAACAGCGTGTTTCCTGCAGAGTTGCTGGTCGTCAAGTGTTTACAATGGACAGGGTCCAGATCATTCAGAGAAAAGCCCCATTCCTTAAGTATACGAGTCGCATTGGGTGGTATATGGATCGCGGCGCCGACTTCGTGGAGGAAAGAAGATTGTTCGAAAACCTATATCTCGTTTAGAGCCTTGAATAGCGATAGGATTGCGCCAAGTATCCGTCAGAGTGACCTTGACAAACCTCGACATCGTGTCCCTCGCGATTCATGGCGATCGCAGCGCCGAGGCCGGCAAGTCCTGCACCGACTATTGCTACCTTGAGAGGCATTGTTTAACTATACGGCCGGTAATGGGAGGATTGAAAGACTCGAGATGATGAATGATGATGCGAGGATTAATGTCAGATTCGAAGGCCGAAGTGCTCAACGTACGGATTCTGTGTGTTAATTTAACTACCTTTTTAAGTATACATCTCGGCAAACACCTTTGTAATGGAAGCCTGAATAGCTTGGGGTTTGTCTCCGTTTGCATATTGCCGGCTCCACAGAATAAGAAGCTATGGTTATAATTAGAGATTTATAAAGAAGTAAAGAAACAGTAATTTAAACTAAAGTTGATTTAACCATACTAGCTATTTTTTATAACATCTTAATTAATTTAATTAATTATA